GTTTGAATTTTATATTTCCGTACGTGAAAAGAATATAAATATCTTCATATACCAGACGCTCGCTAATTAGTACTGCATCTTCAGAATCTCGTGGATCTCAATTGCTCAATTGATCCACCACCGTTTTAACGCCCTCTTGCTAAAACATCTAATAAACTGTTTCTAAATCGTTTCCTTCTCTCAATTTTGAAAATCATCGACTCCATTGGAGATGTACATGGTCCGAATTGGATTGGGTTTAAGAATTTTTTTTGGACCAATCCAAAAGTTAGTTTGTTGGATTGCCAAAAAATTTCACAACTCAACCCAACCTTCTATTTTTGGGTTTATGCTAAATTTCTTTATATATTTTATAAATTTTTGTTTGGTTCGGGTCAACAAATTTTTGTCCCATAATCCAAAATCAAACCAAACTACTTCAGGTTCACAAAAATAAATCCAACCCAATCCAATCTAACCCCTATAATGCGAGTTGGTTCGGATTGGTTGATCCAATTGTCTAGTTGAATGATTGAGGTGTATTATGGTTCAATTATTAGAGGCAGTAGACTCGCCTTCATGCACCAGACATTTTCGTAGATCTCAACAATGGTGAAAAGCTGTAGATCATCGGAGGAGGTCACTGGAAAAGTGCCAGATAGTCGAGTCGGGTCGGGTCGGGTCGGGTCAGGTTAACCCAGTGACCCACTGAAAGTCCACAATCCAGTTCAGCCCAAACTCAACTCCAGCATAGCAACTTAAGCCCAGCCCACGTTTAAACTCATTTCCTCCTTCAGCCCAGCCCATACCAAAGCCCAAGCCCAAGCAATAGCAAAATCGTTGACCGTTGAGTGGAGTTAGCTGATAATTAGCTTGGATTCTAGTATTAGACGATCATGTTTTAATTATTTTTCTAATGGTTACACGTGCATGCATCAATCAATCACGATTTATAGGTTGATCTAGGTCAGTATGTTTTTAGTAGACACTACACCTTCGGATTGTGAGTGGCAATTTGAGATATAGACCTGTATGCATCCTAGAGAGTAGATTGGCTCGAGGAGTTACTAAACGTCTTGTGAATGAAAGACAAGGTTTAAACCGCCTAGATGCCCTTAAGAACCTAGTAAATCTCCACGACATCCAAGAATGACAAAGATAATTCTTCAAAGCATAACACTATGTATGATGTCATAAGTTTAATGGTGTCATTAGAGTCTCCCTACCCTTTCCATTGGTCAACTGTCGAGTTTTACTTTGGTATCCCCTGGCAAGCCATGAATAGGATGGTTAGGGTTGTGTTTTCTAGAGAGGGTTGTGGAACCAGTCGATCCATGCTCATCAAATTTATCTTAAAAGGGGGAGTAGAATCGCGCGAGTAATCTTAGTAATTGGCAAGCACACAGGGTCGCTCCCCCAACCTTGGGTGACTATATGGTTTTATGGAAGGGTGAGCAAGTGCTCGAGAGATCTATAAGGTAGCACCTCAACCAAGGACAAAATTTCCACAAAATTTTCTACGCAAAATAACCTTTCTTAAGTAAAAATAAAACAAAAGAGTAATTCACATTAGAGAGGGAACTTGTCATTTGACAGATCTGTGAAGCCAAGAAAGGGTGAATCACCTTCTTCATATCCAGAGTTGATCCGTAAGCGATGAGCAACTAAAGTATCGCTTAGAACTTTAAGATACTCTAAATGCTTAGATACTAGTTGAGGCTAGGTCGAACTTCTTAGAGCACAGAGTAAAGCCTGTGGATACCTACTAAGTTAAAGATGAGATGAGAGCCTATAATTTGGTTGCTTATTAAGTATTTTTATACTCACCTATTTCCCCTTCTTTTTCAACGGTTTGCAAGCTACCTGTCAAGGTGGAGGAGAGTTCGAGTTGTGTGGTCACAAGGGGTCATTTCAGAACGTCATCCTATTTTAATATTTAAGTATTTTGTATTTCATTATGTGAATGTATCCCAAACCCATTTTCTCATTCGTAATAAATTTAAATAGTATCATCTTGTAATAAAATTTAATTCTGTATTTAATTGTGGTATTGTTTTGTGTTTTAATTTGATTTAAATGTTACCCCATTTTCGTATTTTATCTTATTTACATATATTTTATTTGTCTTGGTCTTTGTTTTTTTTGGTCACAATCCGAGTTTTTAAACCCTCAAAAACCAGGTCATGACAATATATGTGTATGAAAGTTGTAGTAATTAGGCAGTAATGGAATTACATAGGATGTAAGACAACTACCTACTTGTGTACGTGTAAACTTAAGTAATTTACCTAATTGTATGCATGCAAATTACTTTAGAGACGTGTGATGTGGCGTTGTGACAATTACGTGTCTGGGTGTGCAAGAATTTGTATACTCTAGTTTGGTTTTACTTGTGGCAACCACACATTTACGTGTCCATGGGAATTGACCAATTTCAAATGATTATAGGTCCCTTGATATTTGCGTGTCCACGGGAGTTGACCAATTTCAAATGATTATAGGTCCCTTAGTTTCTTGATATTTGTTGTGATTATATGCACGTCTAACCTTGATACGGGAGGAGTATTTTCACTGCTCAGGCTATCTCAATATGTTTTGAGTTAAAGATAAGAGCGTGCAATGATCGTGACAACCAGTAGTACTTATGGCCTTGGGCAATGGTTATTGTATCTGTTTTATCTTCATTTATTTACTCCGAAAGTGTTTTACACTTCTGTTTTATCCTTTAACTACAAACTCTAGCCATTGATTTAGAAGTTCTTTCTTCTCAAACATGTTTTTTTTATTTAAATTTTTACAAGGTACCCATACTAAATTTAAATATTTTCTATTAAAGTTTACGAGTCTGTACCGTACGTATTTTCATTTTTTTTGCTCTAAATGACGTAAGAAAACATATGGTAACGAGCCTAGGTTGATTTCGAGTTTTAGAATGTCGGGTCGATATAATATATTATATTCAAATTAAGACATAAGAAGATATATTCAATGATAGAGATAGTAGATAGAACCGTCAATTTTTTAAATGAAAATTAGAGTATTCAATAAGTTATACTTAAATGAGTTTCGTTTTCTCTTTTATCTCAACATCGAGATTGATTGTAGGGACGTTAGTACTCTCCGACTTACCATACCAACAACTCAAAATTAGAATTATTTTTAAATAATTAAAATAGATTGTTAAATAATATACCAATATAAATTTTATTGTTTATAATTAATAATCAATAATAATTTTTTTAGTTTTTTTACTAATTTATTTTATAATAATATTTTATTCTAATGACTTATTTCATGTTGACCAATAGTATAATGATATTTAATAACAATAAATAATTAAGAAAAAAGCAAATAAACGTACTTTATTTGTATATTCCATCTAATAAAATAATTTAATTTTAAAAATTAAATAATAATTAATTACTGAATAAAAATAAACAGAAATTTTCAATTTAATAAAAAAAAAAAGACATATGATAAAAGAATAAAATTAATACGATTCAATTACAAACGTGGACAGTAACCCTCTTTTTAGGTTGAGTCAATGAAAAAAAAATGTCAATATGCAAACCGGCCGAGCATTTATGGTTTTGATTGAGTCGGACCGGTTGGTTGGATTCTCGAGGTCTCTAAATTCTAAATAAATAAATAATTTAAAAAAAAAAAAGAATTGGGTGGAAAAACATGAACAAGTCAAAAGACAATTTTAGATATAATGTCAATAGGACCATTTGACAAATTTTGTGATGGAGAACAGAAAAGGCATTAATTATTTGGAGAAAGAGCGAAAATATATTAACTTTCCCACCTAACCATGACCCATATTTGTATATTATCTAATAATTTAGAGTTCGATCTATTTCAACACTACACGTTAAGAATAAGAATGGTTCGTTTTAGATTAGTGTTTCAAAAGTATAGTTTTTAAGTATTTTTTTTATTATAAAAATCGTCTAGAATTAAAATATTTATATGTTTGGTTGATTGAAACATAGTATGTTAGTAGATGACAATGACGTACGATCATGTTCCTTTGTGCCTATACGATGCGGAGATTATTAAATGGTTGCTAGTTAACATTTAATAGTGAACTTCCGAACCTAATGGCAAGAGTCTGCATTTGTATACCTTTATGATCCTGAGTTGACGTTGACTGGATCATGTCCTAAATCTCAATGATATGGTGCCATATGGATATTATGTGGGAACTATTAAGAAATTTCCAACTATTCTGAGGAACTCGTGACTTAAGGGCAAGGAGGGTCCAAATAAATATCAAAGTAGTTGACAGGTATGAGGGTCGTTCTCTTCTTTTATGATAATGACACTACACGGGTACTCTAACAGAGTTACTATAATGATCTATGTCTAGGATTCGTAATCTGGATTCGGCACCTGTATGCCAGGACATTCCCGTGCATTCCCCATGATATAGTAATATTACTACTTGTTCCTCACTTCTAAGAGTGAAGATTATCCTTGCATACCAACACGAATCCTTCCAACATATATCATATTTTGGTCTCAGTTCATTCATGTACCTCTCATTTACTCGAGAGTCACAATCACCAACTAGTTTATGATAGGGTCGGTAAGTATATCACGAGTTGAAATCTATAATAAGCCGCACATCTTATAAGTATGAAATGCATGTTTGGAAATGACGGTAGAGAACAGTAAATAGTCAACTAGATTCTACAATAGTCCGTTAACCCTAAAGAAAGGAATATGTTCGAGAACTATCCGATGAACCTCAAAGTATGAAATGAGTTACGAGGAAATAAATTATAAGATAAAATAAACTCCGAAGGATTAAAACTAAAAAAATGAACTCGATAGAACCTAGTTCTTACTTTCATACAATAGAAGCCCTAGACCGGATAACTAAAATCGATCAGGAACCTAATCTTGCATGATCGAAACGAGTACAAACGAGTAACGAGTTTGTATCATATTTTAAATTGAATGGTATAAAATTCCAATTGTTATTAAGCTAAGTAACATAGTTGTTACAAGTTATAATTATAACATAAACAAATAAACTTCAAAAAAATATATATATATATATTGAAATTGATTTATCAAAAATATCCCTACAGGTCCTCCAATTTTTGTTTATTTGAAAAAGCTCCCCCAAATTTCTGAAATATTCTAAAAAGAATCTTTTAATTTTAGGATTCTATTTCTAGGGCCAATCTATTTGATCCCATTCCCAATTCGCCTCTTCAATCTCTTCGTCTTCAACCATTCCCGAACTACCGCCACTTACGCCGCAGAAACCAGTCGCCGGCGCCGAACATGAAATCGCCGACGTTATCGCTTCCGCCTTCTGTTTCTGATCGGCGTTGTTCCGACCATCGCCGATGACTTCCATTGGCCGCCGATCGAAGGCTCGAAAACATCCCGAAATCACATAAACTCGGCACAAACTGAATTCGTATCTCAACTGCAACACAAATCGATTAAACGGCGAAAACGAGAGTCAATAATCGAAAGAAACAAAGCAAATTCGTGTCGGACCTTAGTGGAATCATCGATTGCTCTGTATTCGTTCATCTTCCACTTGGTTTTGGTTCCGGTCGGTGCTCTGCCCTTGTAGAACACCATCGTCTTCTTCAATCCAATTATTTTGTTGGCGGCGGAGTACACGTAGACCGGAGAGCCGGTAGCCTTCCAGTAGCCAGTGGCGGTGGTTCTACTCGGCCGACCACCGCGAGCCTCCCTCTCTTGCCGTGCCACAAAGAAGAACCATTGCTCGCTGTCCCCTTTACAGAGCTCGCCGGCAAACTCTGTTTCACCCAAAAAAAACGACCCAATTAGATCAAATTAAAATTTTTAAATCTTTTATTAAAAAAAAAATTAATATAAGCGTCAAAATTTCAATTTTACCCTTAACCTTTTAAACCGAACTTAAGAAAAGAGAACAGGAGAAAGTGAGTAGTTACTTGGAAGATCCCAGGGCTCAGAATCGTAGATATTAAGAAGAGGAATGACACGGTGCTTTTCGAGTAGCTGACCATTGAGTTGGTGTCGAAGATAAAAGGAAATGAGCTCTTCCTCAGTCGGGTAGAAGCGGAATCCCGGTGGGTACTCAACGTTCGAGTCGTTTTCCTCGATAGCCATCGACATTGGCATTGTGATAGCCATTGTAGGTTGATATGTGTGTATATATATATATATATATATATATATATATATATTGGGATAAGTTAATGGAAATGTAGACATCAAGCTCAACGCGCTTACGTTGGAAAAACAAGACAGGGACAGAGATGTTTATGCATTCATAAGACCTCTTTTTGAATTGGTCATAGACGCTTAGTGCCTCATATTTTAACCTTAATGCCCAATTTTCATTTTTTTTTCTTTTTTAATATGTAATTTTATTTTCAAATTAATACTAAAAATAAAAAATCTATTTTGTTGTTTGTGGTTAATTTTACACTTAGAAATGGAAATTAGGGTTGGGGGAACTTTCCTATCATAGTCCCTATCATAATTTTCATCGAGGGAAGTTCTAAGATCCTCCATTTGAGACATCGGATTTATTCGGGAAATTTGATTATGCGACAGCTAAAAATTTAAATTTTAGATTACAAGACATAATATTTAAATGTTAGTCGATGTCACAGTCATGCTTGCCTAAAGCATGATAGATGTTCCAGTCTTGCTTGTCCGAGTTGGTTAATAAGGACGTCAACCAATTGAGTGGGGGAGGATGTCACGGTCATGCATGTCCAAGGTGTGTTATTAATTGCCGCATGATAGATATCCCAGTCTTGCTTGTCTAAGACATGTTGTCCATGGTTGCATGCCCGTTCCAAACTCCCTTTACATGCTTTCATCTTAGACAAGTCTTCACCATTTCATATTGGGTCAGTATGAGGGTGTATGACCGTTCACCAAAATCGTGTCTACACCTGCACGGTTTAAAATGCCCTAAATTGTACTATAGGGAGAAGTTGACTAGAGTAATTAAAAATTTAGAAACCCAATAGACACCGCAAACATAATAACCATTTTTTGTTATAATCATTATTTACGTAAGGATCTGACTACTTCGACATCATGCATGAGGAATGCGACTACATACGTGTAAACGACCTCAAAAGACAAATCAAAGATTTATTTTTGAAACTAAATTCAAAAAAAGTTTGAATATTTCAAATACACGAGCAAAAGAATAGAGCATAAGACTAGAGTGGGAAGTCTCTAAGACTCTTGGAAGCAATGATTTTACATTGTCTTTGTATTCTAGCATATTTAAACGCACTCATCAGATCACTGTTACTTTCGTGTACTATTTAAAAAAGAAAAGAATAGTAGTGATGGTGAGCCCTACTTGATAGGTTGAGACTATATTCACTTATAGCTCATGATGGACCCCGACTATTTATACACAAAATATCGGGTATCTAAAAGTCTTATCTTAAAATATGAAAATGTGATGTCTAAATGAGTAATTAACCCGTGCTTGTGGATTAGTTCTGGGAGGCTAGATGCTACTCATGATGAGTTGAAAACCTTTATGGTGTATGGGTTTGTCCCAAATAATACCTCATAAAAATATTATATTTAAACATTATCGAGAGAGCGACCCTTACGTGGGTCAATCTTGTAAGGAAAAATTCTTATGAGAATTAATTTTTAATTTTTTTTTCTCCGCTTCTCAGATTTGATTGAGAATTTTAAAGGCCAAATTTTAAGATCGAACAAAAAAAAATAAACTTAGAAAATATTAAAAAAAATAGTGAAAAATTAGAAAAAAATGGTCCAAATCAACCGATATTTTGGTTATTTCAACCTAGGGCTTAACCCGTAATTGAGAGTGAGTTAATTAACGATTACAGTGGAATTAGGCTCTAAAATTTAAGTATATTGTTCTAAGTAAGATTCACACCACTTACATTAAGGAGCCTCGAGGCAAAATGCACCTGAAGATGGAGATTCGATGAGTCAAAAGAAGGATGAGTTTTCTAATTTCAAGTCTCCTTTGGAAATTTATTTCTATCCATAGTTATCGAAACATAATTAAAATAATTTTGTTAGAAAGTTGGCAGAAAAATCTTCAACTTTGGTGAAAACCCCGAGTTGAATCAAGTTACATATAGAAGATTTAAAAAATCAGAAGAGATTAGAAAAAACATGAAATGATAGTGAAATCTAGAAAAGATTCATGAAAATTTTAAATGCAAGTGACATGTGTCGACATGAATGCGTTTGAAGACAAAAGGAACATGCATAGGCTAGTAAGCAGGACGAAGGGACATCAACCAACCGAGTGTGAGAGGATGATATTGTCATACTTGTCCAAGACGTATTTTCTATGGCCACGTGTCAAACGTCATGGTCATGCTTGTTTAGGGCGTATTACCCATGGTCGCATGACTGTTCAAACTCTTTTATTTGCTTTCATGCTACTTAGGTCTTTACTATTCTTATTATGTCAATACAAGGGTGTATGACCTTTCAACAAAACCATGTATACACTCCTCACGCTAAAATGCCTAAAAATGTACTATAGGAGATGTGATTAGTTGTCAATTTTTCCTGTCCGAATTATACGCTATCAAAGTCGTGGTGGTTACTTATTCGATTTTAGCCTATAACATTACTTTCTTTCAAATTATTTTCAAATCATTATCCCATTCATGTTTTCTAAAACATTTCTCTCAAATGTGACTTCAGGCGAGATCATATATCAAGATTGTCTGCAAAATTAGACTTTCTGTTAAGGATAGTTGACCGTTCATTATAAGGCAAATATCTAGATATTTGTCTTACATTACGGGTTACCATATTTGTCCTTTTATTAAAGGCAAATATATTGTATTCATTTATTATTCTTTCATTTTATTGCTATTTCCATATTATTTGTAATTTATCATATTTCTATATTCTGTAAATGATTATAAATAAGAGAACTCTTACCACCATTTAGGTGTGGTGGATTCAGCAAACATTCACATGGTATCAGAGCCCTTTCAGTTTAACAACCCTGATCCCTTCTTCTCTATGGCTTCCGAATCTTCTTATCATCTTCTTCCTTTCAATACTCTAATCCATATGATCACCATTAAACTTTCTTCCTCCAATTATCTTCTTTGGAAAAGCCAACTTCTCCCTCTCCTTGAGAGTCAAGACATGCTGGGCTATGTTGATGGAACTATGGTTCCACCACCTCGCTTTGAACCAAAAACCTCCTCAACACTCAACCCCAAATATTTGGCATGGAGAGCAGCCGATCAACGACTTCTCTGTCTCCTGCTCTCTTCTCTCACTGAGGAAGCCATGGCTGTTATCGTTGGTCTCTTTATTGCACGTGATGTTTGGCTTGCATTGGAAACTATGTTCAGCCATCAGTCGAAAGCTCGTGAACTGAGACTCAAGGATGACTTGCAATTGATGAAACGTGGCACCAAACCTGTTGCTGAGTATGCCCGTGCCTTCAACAAAATTTGTGACCAACTTCATGCCATTGGCAGACCCGTCGAGAACATTGATAAAGTGCACTGGTTCCTTCGTGGACTTGACACCGAATTTTCAGCTTTTTCTACTACTCAGATGGCTCTCACCCTTATCCCCTGTTTTGCAGATTTAGTCTCTAAATCTGAAAGTTTTGAGTTGTTCCAGCGCTCCTTTGAGTTCTTTGACTCCAATCCTACAGCATTCACAGCCACTAATCGTGGTTGCACCCATGGAAGCCACCCTGCTTCCTTTACCAACCAGCGAGGTCGTTCTTATTCTCACAAAAACAACTCTTCTAATCGAGGATGGAACCACTCAAGTCAGAGTCGTCGACCACCTCACTGCCAAATATGCCGCAAAGAGGGCCATTAAGACCACTGCAACCAACGGTATGTTTGACCTGATTCTTCTCATGCTCACCTTGCTGAAGCCTTTAACACATCATGTTCTATTGCTAGACCCGATGCTGCTGATTGGTTTCTGGACACTGAAGCTTCGGCCCATATGACTGCCGACCCATCTATTCTGGATCAGTTTAAAAATTACACGGGTAAGGACTCTGTGATCATAGGAAACGGTGCATCCCTACCCATTACCCACATCGGTACTCTTTCTCCTGTTCCAAATATTCACTTATTAGATGTTTTGGTTGTCCCTCACCTCACTAAAAATCTTATTTCCATAAGTAAATTAACGTCTGATTTTCCTCTCTCCGTTACATTTACTAATAATCTTATTACTATCCAGAATCGTCAAACAGGAAGGGTGGTGGCAATCGGTAAAAGAGATGGAAGGCTATATGTGTTGGAGCGCGGCAACTTTGCTTTTATTTCAGCCCTTAGAAACAAATCTTTACGTGCTTCATATGATTTATGGCATGCTCGTCTGGGTCATGTGAATCATTCTGTTATTTCTTTTTTAAATAGAAAAGGTCATCTTTCTCTTACGTCTTTATTGCCTTCTCCATCATTATGTAATACTTGTCAGCTTGCGAAAAGTCATCGATTGCCTTATTCCCGCAATGAACGTAGATCGTCTCATGTGTTAGATCTTATTCATTGTGATCTTTGGGGTCCTTCTCCCGTCAAATCAAATTCGGGCTTTCTTTATTATGTTATTTATTGATGATTATTCTCGACTCACTTGGTTTTACCCTTTAAAATTTAAATCTTATTTTTTTGATATTTTTCTTCAATTTCAAAAATTTATGGAAAATCAATATTCTTCTCGTATCAAGGTATTTCAAAGCGATGGTGGTACCGAATTTTCTAGTACTTGTTTCAAAACTCATTTACGTAATTCTGGCATCCACCCTCAACTCTCTTGTCCATATACACCTGCTCAAAATGGTCGTGCTGAGAGAAAACATCGTCATGTGACTGAGACTGGCTTGGCCCTTCTCTTTCACTCTCATCTTTCTCCTCGTTTTTGGGTTGACGCCTTTAGCACTGCAGCTTATATTATCAACCGGTTGTCTACTCCACTTCTTGGAGGTAAGTCACCCTTTGAACTCCTTTTATGGCTACACTCCACATTATGACAATTTTCATCCCTTTGGTTGTCGTGTTTATCCTTATTTGCGTGATTATATGCCTAACAAGCTTTCTCCCCGCAGCATTCCTTGTATTTTTTTGGGGTTATAGTCCTGCTCATAAAGGGTTCCGCTGTCTTGATCCCACTACCACTAA